CAAATGTAGAACCTGCCCAGAAATACCTCCACTCCCCAAAGCAGGACAGGAAGACGGCTGGCTGCCCCCCTCTCTGCAGGCGCACAGGCTGGATGTGAATTTTAACCTGCCCTTGCTTACTTATTACAAATCCGGGGAAGGGGAGGAGGTATGTACTGAAAGGGGAGGGGAGAGGCCTATAAGATGATTTGCTGTGGGTTCGTCCCCCCGAAAACATGGTCCAGGACCCTGTGTCTGCCAGGCCTCGTTTATAGTCATCACCATCAGTAAAAGCACCTACTGTGCTCCAGGCACTCTACTTGTGTTATTCCCACTCCTTACAACAGCCCCAAGAGGTGGGCCTTGCTGGCCCCATTTTACCGATGAGGAAACTGAGATCTGTGATGGTCAGGCTCCCGGAACGAGGTCAGCTAGTCAGTAAAAGCCTGGCTTTCGCAGCCACCGTCTGCCTCCCAGAACCCTGCCCAGTGACCAAGCTCTTAACGTTCACAGCAGCCGCTGTGGCAAAGGACACCCAGCAGGCTGCAGAACAGGTGGCTGATGGTGATTATTCCAAAAAGGAAAAACTGCCTCCATGGAAGAGGAGACTGGGCCTGTTACATTTAACAAGGGTTGGGGACTGGCTGGGCTCGGTGTGCCTCTTAAACAGGCAGGCACCGCAGGGCAGAATTCACAGGTCCGCAGCCAGCCCCGCTGCTGCCTACGGTTTAAACATTAAACTATAGGGTGGCCTTATTTAAAGGCAGACCGTTTTATAAGGCACACGGTGCTGTCTAGACTTGGGAACATTTACGAAAGTGGTTGTACTGCGCGTGAGTTCCCGTCACTCTGAAGGCGGAGTGACATCTCTCTGGCTCGTGCAGGAACAAATTGGATGTTTTGGGGGGAGGGTGTATGGTTTCAGACATTTGGTAATCTCTTCCTGCTGGGCCCTTTCCCCACCTCTATCTTTCTTTGTCGATGTGGGCGAGGACTGAGGGAAACTGGAGAGGTTTTCTCCAGAATTCTGGCACCCGTGCGTGTTTCTTTGGTAGCCTTCGGTCACGAGGAAAATTGCGTGATCACTTGTGTAATTTTTGCTCGTTGCCCTTGTCCTTCCCCTCCTCTGCTCCCCACCCCCCACCCCAACCTTGAGGGCTGGGGCAGAATCTTGCTGGTTTTCCCTTTTGTGTAGTCCCAGCACTGTGCCTGGTGCCTGGTAGGTACCCAAAAGGAGTAAGTGAATGAACAGTCCAAATGCAGAGAGGGCTGAAGTGGATGTCTTGAGGCCATCTTCTGGCCTCATTCTAGGCCATTCTATTCCCCTGGTCACCTGCACAGGTGACCATAAGAAGGAGATGGGGGCGGGGGGGAATAGTCCTGGGGTTGCTTTATCCTTCTGTCTGGTGTCCGGCTCAGATGCCATGGTGATCATGGTGGGTGAGCCCCAGCTGCTCTGGGCTTCCAGACATGTCAGAGGAGGGTACAGTTTAACGACCTGGAGAGAGATTCTCCTGACTTTTATGTACTTGGGGAACATATGTTCCCTAGGCCTTTACTTGCTGGCCCATGAGGAACCAGGAGGAATTCAAGTGTGCTCCAAGAATGAAAGGAAGGAAAGCAGGAAGGCCCTATATAGGGGGCAGTCTCTTCAGGTTAAACGTGCTGCCATTTACTGAACACTTACCCTGGGCCAGGCATGTTCCAAACACCTGACGTTTCATCCTCACAGGGTACCTGTGAGGCAGGTCCCCTTCTTTCCCTACTTGATGGATGAGGAAACTGGAGCGCAGAAAGGTTATGTCACCTCTCCAAGGTCACACAGCTAATGAGTGGTTTTAGCCCGGACTCAAAGCCATGTTCCTGACCATTACACAACACGGCTTTGCCTTGTGCTGGCTCAGGTTATCCTTCGACTTCATGAAGCAGACACCACCTTAAGTTACAGGAACTACACTTAGAGATCTCTTTCTCCTTTTATAAACAACTCTTTAAAATTGTGACAACCATTCTTAGCTTTCTGGGTCCTACAGAAACAGGCCATGAGCTGGATTTGGTCACAGGCTGAATATGCAGCAAACCAAGAAGCATTTCAGAGGGTGCAGAATGTCCCCACGAAGATGAAGTAGGGAAAGGTGTGGAGAGAGGGAGGTGGCCAGGAGCTGCCTCATCCCCTAAAGGGGTCAGAGGGAGGGTTTTCCTAAGGGATCCTGGAGCTGAAGCCTGAATAAGGATGTAAAGATCCGTGACGCGTAGAGCACTTGGCACAACGTCTGCACCGTATAGGAAGTGCTCCACGACCCCTGCTGTTATTCCAGTGGTTGTTACTGTGTCCGTGGTTTGCCATTAACTGGCTCTGCGACCTTGGGTGGGTCATCTCACTGCCCTTGGGAGTTGAAATGAGAGTCTCCCCCTGGCCTTGACAATTGCATGGTTCTAAGTGATTTCTAGCCCGCCTTCTTCGATGGACTTCCCACCAACCCTTTGAAAGAGGGGGCAGAATGAGCCCTCTTTTACATTTTCAATAGAAGACTCATTGTAGGAAGAGGGAAACTTTTGTGGAGGGACAACCACCATGGTTATTAACATTTATGGAGCCCTTTTAGTTTCCTCAGTGCTGAGTGGGGTTTTGTTAGAATGTGAGCACTTTCCTTTTCATACTGGGCTGGAAACATCCCCCTGGCAAATGGCACTGTGAGATAGTCGGCCTCCTGCCCCACTGTTGGGGGGAGCTGACCAGTGGGCTTATTTTCTTACCCCCCAGAATGTCTTTACCCTCCCCTGACCCTGGATGGGGAAAGAATTTCTTCCTATTGTCCTTTGACAGTAGAGCCTCCTTGAGGCCGAGTTCAGCCTGCTGCATAATCAAAGGGGTGGTTTCTCCCCTGGCCCATCTTTAGTCCATGGAGGAATGCAGGAGGTGGTCCAACAGCCACCCACGTCCTCCATGGCCTGTGTGTGCTCACTGTCTTCTTCCTCCGAGAACAAGCTCCCAGGATCGCAGGCCCTGCTCAGACAAAATAAAGCCTTCCAGTCATATCTTTACATTTGACGTCAGCGCAGGGAGGCTTTTCTCGCTGCATACTGAATGGGGCTTTCGGAGGGCCTTGAGCCCGGCACCCTGGTGAAAAGGGGCCTTGAAGCTGGAGGCTCATTCATCCCTGGGCAGCCTCCTTTTATCCGGCCTCCGCCTCGGGGTCTGCTCCCAGTCTAGGGGAGGACGGTGCCTCTCCCTGGGTTTACAGCAGGGCGTCCAGCGTTTCCAGTCTGCTTTGTCCATTCCTCGATTGCCCTTGCAGTAGGATGCCAGAGAAAAACGAAGCATCTTCCCAGTGTGCCTGTCTTGGTGGTGGTGTTTGACTAGAGTGGTCCTTGTTTTTATGCTCCGGTTTCACTGTCGCTTCTCTGGTCTGGGTTCTCATCACCTAACCGCAAACATCACCCCTGCCTCCCCCTCCCTTCCCTCCTTTTTCCTCCCTCCTCCTTCCCCTTCTGTCTACCTAGCACCTGCCTGCCGGCCCACACTAAGGGTTTTTCAGGCCTGCCACGTGCCAATGCGGAGTTAAGCACGGGAGATAAAGCAGTGAATAAGATCCCCGCTAGTTTAGAGCCAAGTAATGACACGAATACTGATTTCATTACAGCTGGGGAGGCTTTTGCAAAGGAGAGATATGTGGGCCTGCTAGTCCATTGACATTTGTTGGGAGGGCAGCAAATGGCAAAAACAGCAATAATAATAGTAGCTGCCCAATTCTCATTGAATTATAGATGGGCTGATTGTAGTTTCCATGTATAGTGCCTGGTGGGGACCCGGTGTAAACCAGAAGATGCAAACGTTCCCAGATGTGAGTAGCTTCCTGCTGAGGCTGACAGGGCTTCCCCCTGTCGTAATCGAGGTGTGGCCATGGACTGCTGGTAATGAGGACGCTGTCTCTCCGGGGTACTTCACGTCTCTGTGATCCAGAGGGATGAGTTAAATGCCTTTCATCTAGGAGAGGGTGGTCCAGGTGAGAGCTGACGTCATAGGAGGACCACTTTGGAAGGGACTAAGCTGGCTGTTGGTAAAAACTTCCCTTTTTCCCCACGACCCCCTTCCTCCCCCCCCCCCCCCCCGAGTACTTTCTGCCTCCCTTAGAGCCAGGGTGAACTAAATGACCAAGCAACTTGTTTAGGAGCAAAGATGAATCCACTGGCCAACATATTTTTCCTCATTAGATTCCCGTTGTCATTTAATGCCTTTTTATTTATGTGTTTCTTTTGAGCGATTGCTCTGCGCGTTGGCCCTGGCAGGCCTCTACAGTTTGCATTTGCAGACATTGGCACGGGGATCATCTGGGGCCAGGCAGGGAGTCTGGCTGTCCCTGCCTTTGTTTCATCCTGATTTTTCTATAGCAGAGCCTTTTTGTCTCGTCACGTCACGTCACGTGCGATGGAAGGTGCCCGGGGCTAGAGGAAGGACGAAGGAAGGATTTGGCCTCTGAGCAGTTGCACAACCACAGCATAGGCTGGAGTCTTAAAACCCTGCATTTGAGCAGAACTGGCCTGGAGAAGCGCCGTGCAAGGAAGCTTTCACCAGCCATTGCTGCGGCAGCTGCCCGCTGGGGCTGAGTGATACTGATTTCACCCATCCATGTTTAATCATCTATACCCTGTAAACTGAGCTCTTTGGTTTCCTTTTTTCAAAGCATCAGGATTCCTAGAGTAAACGAATTTGGCCACGTGAAGCAACCTCTGCTTTATGGCAAAACAACAACAACAAAACAAGGGAAACAAGACCAAAATAAAACCCCCTAACCCAGCGTCCCAAACCCCAGGCTCTTGGACTCTGATGTTTTCTGTTGTCAGGAGAAGGGTGTTTTTGCTATAAATGAAAGACGTGACAGGGGGTATTTTGAAGCTTTGTTTTGGTTATTGTCGGTTCTGCCAACAAGTAACATCTGTATTTATTTTCCAAACTCCCCCAATGGCTGATTTGCATCTGTTTAGTCCTCTGAGTAACATTTCATTTCCTGACTTTATAGGTTGCTATAAAATCCATTCGTAAGGACAAAATTAAGGATGAACAAGACATGGTTCACATCAGACGAGAGATTGAGATCATGTCATCCCTCAACCATCCTCATATCATCAGTATTTATGAAGGTCAGTGATTTTTTTTTTTTTTTTTTCACCCACGTCTCAGTTACCATTTCTCATACCATGGGGCCTGCCAAGATTTTTAGGTAATTGCCCTTCTGGGCAAGAGCCAAGTAGTTTTTTTCTTCATGATGCAAAAATAGCTGGGTGTTATCTCCTATTTGGTTACCTCGAACGCAACCAGACACACGGAGCACGGCTCCCTTTGGTCATAAATAGCTCCGGCTGGTGCCTTCTTCCGCCTCCCGGCCAGTTCCTTGGCGGTTGCTAGGCAACCCGCCTTATTAAAAGCCAGTATGCGAGACAGCCATGGTTTCTGAAAAATGGCAGTTTGCTGGGTGACCAGGGTCATGGTGGATCCATTGTAAAGGTCATTGCCTAACGCAAATGCCCCAGTGGTGGAGTAAGGAGTTACTCCAAGTTAGGCTCTTTGAGCTGGGAATTAGCTTTGAGCAGGTCCGGGAAGTACCAAGAAAGAGGAGGGATCTCTCGGCGGAGCAGATGCCTCACAAATGGAGTCCAAGTCATGAGTGGTGTTTGTGGAAGAGCGGGGCTGGGAAAAAAGTCACAAAAATGCTTGAACTTCAACTCGTTGGTCCTTCCTGGGAAGAAATGGAGAGTATAAACTTCCTATAGCCTATCTTTTCTTTTTTTTTAATATCTTGTAAAAAAATTACTTGAGCAATATGTATTTATTGCAGGAATTATTGAAATACAAAAGTTAAAATTTAAAAATATTTTCAGGGGCACCTGGTTGGCTTGCCAGTTAAGCATCTGACTTTCGCTCAGGTCATGATCTTGCGGTTCCTGGGTTCCAGCCCCGCATCGGGCTCTGGGCTGACAGCTCAGAGCCTGGAGCCTGCTTGGGATTCTGTGTCTCCCTCTCTGTCTGCCCCTCCTGTGCTTGAACTCTGTCTCTCTTTCTCAAAAGTAAATAAAAATAAAAAAATAAATAAACAAATAATTCAATTCTAACCCCCCAGTTCTAATATCACTCTGGCTATATTTATTTATATTTTATCTACTTCTCTATGTCTGTACATGATTTTTATCCAGAGTTAGATCTTACTGTTTATACCATTTTTTAACTTAACATTTTTTCATGCTTTATACTATGCATCTCTTTCTCTGTCAATAAATATTCCCTGTAGGGACAGTTTGAAAGACTTTATAGTATTCCATTTATGGATGTATCATAATTTACTGAATCTAATTCCTTTTCTTAAATATTTAAGTTGTTTCAGATTTCTAGTTATCATAAACAGAGCTTTAGTGATCCTCCTTGTAATCATTTTTATATTCATTTCCGTAATTTTTTTTTCTTATGAGAAATTTTCTAGGCTTGGACTTCCTGAGTCAAAGTGTTTCTCCAGAATATTTTTAAATATACAGTCGAGTCAGAAAAATGAGTCTATTTTTAATTTGGTATAATCGTAATATTTTTAATTATGGTCTGAGCATAATAAGTTACACAGTAGTGGCTAAGAGGAAGCCAGATGGTAACCTGAAAGTTTTTCTGGTATCTATTCTAAGTGCTCCTTCTTCTGGTTCTCTGCTGTTTTTTGCCATTTTTCCCCCCTGTTGTTTCTATTTTTTCTCCTCATCCAGAAGTAAATGTTGGTAACAGGTTTTATCTTGATTTTTCTGAAGCTCATTTTTGGAGCCCTTGATAGAATGCTTGAGGGAAATCTTCGTTCATTTATTCTCTCCACAAACATCCCTTGCAGTCATTCTCCAAGTACAGACTCTGAACCAGTAACATTAGTATAAATTAGGATTGTTAGAAATGCAGATTCAAGGGCCTCACTGAGGACCTGATGAATGGGCAACTCTGGGGTGGGGCCCAGAAGTCTGTGTTTTAACGAGGATGGGAACCGGTGGCCTACCGAGTGTCAGTGTCTGGTTAAGCACTGTGTTAAATGTGGTTAAAAATCTCATTTTCAAGGCACAATACAAGGCATGATAGAAAAATACTATGTAGATATACAAGCAACATATCTAGCACTGTGGAGTCCTGGAGCTTAGATGTTTTCATGACATACAGGCTGGGCCATGAAGGAGGTGTGTTTTTGTTTTTGTTTTGTTTTGTTTTTTTTTTCTTTGTTTTTTTTTCGTTGTTTTTTTTTCTTTGTTTTTTTTTTTTTTTTTTCAAAGTTTATTTATTTTTGGGACAGAGAGAGACAGAGCATGAACGGGGGAGGGGCAGAGAGAGAGGGAGACACAGAATCGGAAACAGGCTCCAGGCTCTGAGCCATCAGCCCAGAGCCCGACGCGGGGCTCGAACTCACGGACCGCGAGATCGTGACCTGGCCGAAGTCGGACGCTTAACCGACTGCGCCACCCAGGCGCCCCAGTTTTGTTTTGTTTTTTTTGAGGAAGAATTGGCAAAAGTAGAATTCTACGTTGATAAAATGAATCTGAATATGCCTGTCAGTGAGGGGAATTTCTAGAGTTTAGAAGTGAGTGGAGATACAAAATGCAGGATGAGAGTGAGTTTTATACAATTCTGAGTGTTTTTCCTCCATGTGACCTGATTACCATGAAAATCTGAAGGCAGCTATAAAGGATGACCAGTACAATGTGGACCCGTGTGGGTGTCATGCTCTGTGTGCGGTGCTGTGCTTGGGATTTCGTGGCTTAGGGGAGGAGCCTTCTTCATCAGGAAGTTGAAGAGAGTGCGAACCCAGTATGAAGTTTGCAGACTCTTTATTTGGGAGATGGTCTGTGATAACTGAAGTCTGGCACAGAGAAGCCTGACTTCTTCACTGGCATCGTGCTCACTTTGGCCTTGGGAATCCTGAAGGTGGAATGGAGAACAGGAATCTGTACTCTCAAGGGAAGGACAGAGATGAAACTTAAAAACATTCTGTTATCAAGGTCAGGTTGGTCTCAGTTCAGCTCCTGCTGGAGGCTTCAAGAAGAAGAGAAGCCCTTGCTTATAACTTTAAAGATATAATTTAAAGTTCATAACTTTCAAGAGTTTCATAAAGTTCAATAACTTTAAAGAACATAATTTAAAGTTCTTTGGGTGACTAGAAATAATTTCCATTAAGGTCTCAGGTGGGAGTTTGGGCCTCAATTCATAAAACCCTATCAATAGGTTTTCGGGAGTTAGGAAAGAGCCTGAGTTCTGACATCAGACTCTTGTGTTTTAGTCCCAAATCCTTCACTGTGGCCTCAACATGAGACTTTGAGCAAGTTGAGGGTTTTCTCAGGGCATCAATAACCACACCTATAAGACGGGGGTAACAGTTCTACCTCTAAGGTTGTTGACAGGATTAAATTAGATGATACATGTTCTGGTAAGCTCAAAAAAGGTAATTATCGTGAAGACAGTGTACTCATTACAAGTGGTTCCTTTGGCCTGGTCCATTGGCAACGGCCACTGGGTGAACTGCAGAGTGCTTATAAACCCCCTGAAATAGTGTATAACCGCACTGTCCAATACAGAAGCCACTAGCCATAGATGGATATTTAACTTAGAATTACTAAAATAAAATGATTAAAAATTCAATTTGTCAGCCCCACTACTCACATTTCAAGTCCTCGATAGCCACATGAGTCTTGGCTGCCATATTGGACAGCGTAGATTCAGATCTTGTTCATCCTTGCAGGATAGGACCATGCTGGTATGTAATGTTTTAGATGTTGGGCAGTGCCTACATTAGTTTTTTCCGAGGAGAGGGTGGGTAGGTTTTGTTAGATTGTCAGAGGGATTCCTGACCTCAAATAGGTTAAAAAAAACCCTCTACTGCCACCAAACATTTTATGGCCTGCAGAATACCATACAAATGAAATGAATTGTTTTTATCCAGAAAACTCCCAGGGACTTAAATGTGGATTTTTTTTTTTTTTTTGGCTTTTAATTTCTTAGAAATCTCTGGTTTCTGTTCTGTTCTCTTTCCCTTCTCCCACGCAAGTTCTGTTTCTCCCACATCCACTAAATAACTGTGGAGGAGGGCAGCTCCCCTCCCTTCCCCGGAAGTTTGGAGCCAGGGATCGCCAAGGCGCTCTTCCAGCCCCTACACCTCCACCTGTGACCCCGCAGTCTCCAGGGTCTTCTGACTTTATCTGCTTTGCTGCCCAGGACCCTGGGACCCGGCTTTGAGAGCTAAGTTAGATCTCTCGATGTCATCTGTAGAACTCCGTATAATTTGCAAAGCTCCCCCACGTCCCACCTTATTTGCTCCCTGTGGCAAACCTGTGAGGTGGGCAGGCCAGGTGTCCCATTTTTCAGTTGTAGAGACTGAGACTCAGGAAGGTTAGGACTTGCTGGGTGTATCAGTTTGGTGTAGTAGCCACAACAGGACGCCACAGACTCGGTGGCTTGCACAACAGAAACGTGTTGTTCCTCTGCTCTGGAGACGAGAAGTCCCAGTTCCTGGTATCAGAGTCAGAGGGTAGTTTTCCTCCAAGCCTTTCTCCTTGGCTTATAGATGGCCATCTTCTCCCCGTGTCTTCATGTGGTCTCCCCTCTGTATGCATCTGTGTCCAAATTTCCCTTTCTTATAAGGACACCAGTCACACTGGACTAAGGCCCATTCTGATGTTCTCATTTAATCTTAATGATCTTTTTAGAGGCCCTGTCTCCAAGTAGGGTCACATTCTGAGGTCCTGGGCATTGGAATTTCAACCTATGAATTTGGGGGACCCAATTCAGTTCATAACAGGGTATCATGGCTAGCTGGTGGCCCTGGCACACAGGCCTAGTGACCCCATTTGTCTTTTCCTCTGCCAGCCCTCAACCCTGTATTTCTGATCTTGTGTCTTAATTTGCAGGCTCCGCAGCCTACCTCTGTGCCCTAGGCATCCTCCTTAGGTTGGCCTTTTCAATCCTTTGCATCCCTGGGGTGTGGTAAGGGCAGCTTGGTGGCAACAATGGTGGGGGGACCTCAGTGTGTGGTTTCTCAGCCGATCACAGTGTGAAGGGGAACCTTCTCCCTGGAAGCTGATTGGTTGCCTGACAGGCCAATCAAGAGCCTTAGCTGAGTACGGAAATGTACAAA